ATAAATTACTCTTTTCGTTGATTTTCACGAATTCACAGATCGGGTGCAAAATTTTAATGCACTGTATATGAACTATGATTTTTTTTTTTCAAATTTATTTTGATCACTGTTTTCTATTTACATAGACTTTAAGAAAACATTTCATGTTAATTTACCCTTTTATCTGTGTATTTACTTAATTTTTGCATTTCGTTTACAATTATAATACCAAAAGAACATAAGAGAACATTTTTCTTGAAAATGTCCATATTTTTTCCCCAAACATTATTTCTTTCATAGCTTTGAAGTAACCTATTAAACACATAGTTATATCTTGTATTGCCCTGACAGCCATTGGTCTTGCCAATATCTGAGGGAAGTCACAAAAGCTAAAGAATTTAAGTCATATTTTATTAACACACAGAACTTCTTACTGCGCTTTTGATGAAAATTGACCGAATTTAGCAGTTCATTACTAACCTAGGAGCATTTAACTATTTTTATTCGAAACAAACACACTCAGAAATTATCATCAAGATTTTTCATACAGATATATTTTTTTCTACTTCTCATGCCATTACACTTCCAATGTAATTTGATTCATTGTCAGATAGTTAAATGTTTGTTATTTTTTTCCGCATACGAATGCATTTTCGTGTCTCACATACGCTCATTACATATGATTTAACAAAATCACAAACAAGTTAAATGAATATTTCCTGAAATACTGTACATTTCATTCCGAAAAATTTACATGAGTATTTTCATTTTGAAACCTAAAATGTTTCTTTTCAGACATTCAAAGTAAATTTTGAGTATAACATTTTCAGTTTTGACGGAAGTTATTTGTGGGTGGCTGTGATGTGTTCATGTTTTCATAAACCGTTTTTGTGAAGTACCTTACTGGTAACCTTTAGAACACTTTGAATATTATCATTTTTTACATTACTGCCACTGCAAATCATTGAATTTTCAAAGACTTTCCTATTTATCATTTACAATGCCTCATAAAGTCTTGAAAACAAATTTTTACTAAATAGTTATATTATTTGATTTAATCATTTTGTTACACATTTAGAAGATTTAACTTCGAAAACACTACCACGCTAAACCAGAAGTTAAGAACTAAGAAAAGAAATGGAACTTTTATCTTAGTATTCTATGAGGATAGATTAATTTTCTCTGACATTGACATATTCATATGTAGATAATAAAGAATTTTAACCCAGCTCACATTGACTTAAAATATTTTCTCTAAGTCACCACAATCACTGACTTGCATTGTCACAGATTTTCTCGTGAAGAATTTCATTAGAAACATGTCTAAGAAACTACCTCATCTTCACGAGAAACATCAGCGCTTTGATTTAAATTAGTAATAAAATAAGAATCATTGTTTTGTAAATATGTTTCTCTTTGACTCAAAAGTTTCTTCTTTATCATACTCGAAATGAACAATTAACTGTTTATAAATAGTATATTGTATTGATGAAGCAGAATTATATTTTAAACTTACTGCATTACATTTCAAGTGAATGTGTTTATTGCATCTTTTAATAAAATCTTAAAGGCTGAAATGAGTGTTTAATTTCTAAATCTGTACTTTCTCATTTTATTCTACTGAAACGAAAACATTCATAACTTATTGTGAAGAAAAATTTTTACATGTTATACTTTTTGATTAATTTTCATACCACAGTATTATCTTTGAAAATTTGTTTCCTAGTCCACTGCTAATATATTACTAATTTTTGCTCTTTCAATACATTTCGTACGTGATAAAAAAAAAAATCAGTTTAGAAACTTTTTTTACTTAACACTTTGCATTGCTTTGCTGAACCAGGGACATGCTTTCATTTTTATTACATATCATGCGAATATTTTTAAAAAGGCATATTTTTTCCTTCTGTTAGCGCAATTTTAACCAGCATTTTGCTATTACAGAGACTTCTTTAGTAAAATCTCAATGGTTAAATTGAACGTTTCATTATTAATTTTGAAGATTCTGGATATATCTTACTTAAAAGTTCATAACCGAATAGCAAAATAATTTATATATGTACTTCGTTGTGCTCTTGGTTAATTTTTAAATCACTCTTCAAATATAACACTTGATTTCTAGAAGTATCGAAATGATTATTTACTTTCCGCTTTTTCCAAAGAATTTCATAGACACATATGTTCAGTACAGAAAATTTTCCTAACTTACCAGTATTATTACCAAAACAGAAAACATGCAAAATTTTCCCAAAAATTGATCTATTTGTATTTTTACAAACATGTACACGAATACCCACATTTAATTACTTAATGTGTATTTTCCTATATCAGAAGTAAAATTTCGAACTAAAATTTTTAAATAATGTCATGTTCCATAAAATTTATATATTTGTGATGTCATTGTCTTTTCGCAAACGTTTTGAGAGTGTACTCTAAGTAGTCGTTTAGATATTTTCGAAACTGTTTTCTCTTTGCTATTGGAAACAATTTTATCTTTTTGAACATGTGTTAATGAATTCTCGATACTTTTTTGGTTTATCTTCAGCTTATGAAATATTTAAATACTCAAAAATATATTTGTAGATCGTTTGACATTTGTAATAGATTTCCTGGATGCTTGTCTTGGAGAATGTATTTATTTTTTTTCACGTCAATGAAGCTGATGTTTTCTTAAAATTTCATTATTCATAGTCAATTATGACAGAATGCCGGATTTGTTCTCTTTATTCAACATTCATATGAACTTCAGTATTCCAAATCTCTCACGTAAATGTAATTTTTTATATCAGTAATAGAAAGACGAATGGAATAAATGCAGGTTAAGGTAAAAATCTGGAAATAAAAGAAATTCTTCAAATCTAGGCAATTCAGCAGAATGTGCAAATAGTCATTCTATTCAAAGTTTATTTTTGGAATTACATAGCATATAAAATGTAACTTTAATAAAAAGAGATATAATGAAGATCAAGTACTCTGCAAAATCTGGACGGTAATTATATAAAATTAGTTATAAGGCAGTTTTTCATAAAAAAAGTGGTTCCAGCAGAGGAAACACGCCAGTAGTCTCCCAAAACTTTAAGCGAGCACCTGATCTTTGCTTAAGTAGAATTGTAAATTCTACATAAAAGCGAAGATCAAACGCCCACTTAAGAGTTTCAGAAGATTGCTGGCATGTTTCCTTCGTTGAATGCTATGGAATTATGACGTAATTGAATGCAGGAATTTGAATGATGGGAAAAGGTTTGTTTCTGTCAGATTTTGGATAAAAAGTATGTTATTTTGTGGTTTACATGGCAAAATGTGGTACAATTAATTTGAAGTTTCTGTACAATTTGGAATTAAAGGGGGAAAAAAAAGCATTAATTGACATGTGTAAATGAAGGGTTACTAAGTGTCTTGTTTGTCGGGAAGAAATGTGTATGGTCGAACATCGGAAGATCCAGGTAATATGGAAGATATTTTTGTGAATTTATGTGGCAACACCAGTATACAGATTCTAGTTCAGATAATTTTAGTAAGTTTTTGGATGCTGTTAAGGAATTTTGTTTGACTGATGACACGGAAATTTGTAAATAAGATAAGTGGATATATTCTTTGTGTAGTGCTAAGATGAATTTCCTTTTTTTTTTTTTTTTTTTGTTATTTGATTGTTTGATTTAAAATGTATTTTATTGAGATTATATATTTTTTGTTGGCTGCTCCTTTCACTTTTTAAGTGAAAATAGATCAATGTGTGCATGGAAGAAATGAAGGGAGTGCGAAATTCTCTGTTTTTTGTTTTTTCTTTTAAGTGAAAATAGGTCGATGATGGATACAGAGTTTGTGCAGTTCTTTGACTTGTTATTTTGGATTTGTATCGCTGCTACACAAAGCCAAAATAACAAGTCAAAGAATTGCACAAACACTGTATCCATTTCCCCGCCAAAAATTGCCAAGGGGCACCCATAAATATATTTTTTCTTTTATTCTTAGTCTGCTGACATAATATTGTTTGCTAATACAGCACCTCCCTTTCTCCTCCTCCAAAAAAAAAAAAAAAAAAAAAAAAAAAAAAAAAAAAAAAAAAAAAAAAAATCATTCAAACTATTTATAAGGTGTTACTTTATTTTGGGATAATAAAACAAATGGGGACATCAGACTTGCTTTAAAGAATTAATCACTGTAAATTTATAAGTACATAAATGAAATATTTCTAACATCTTAATAAAAAATAAGACAAGTTTCTATACTAATATGCACTTAATTTTGCTTTGATGAATATTCAAGTTACAGTAATTGGTAAACAAGTCTCAGAAAAATTATAATTTGCAACACATTCAAAATATACAATTAACAATGGTTCAATAGAAACAGTAAATGTTTAAAAAAGTATAAAAGGCAACACATTTTTTACTATTGAAATGAACTGTCAACAAAACACAACCCACAATTACAGAATGCATTTTTAATTATTGCATAATTAATAAGCAATAAAAATCTTCTCAATATATAGTGAAGTTAAACTGGGAAAACTTACTAATATGCATGTTATACTTAATATAACTATTTTTAATAATAACTATTTTATATGTAAAGCTTATACACATAACAATTATACTTATAACATATTTTAAGGAATCATTAAGTTGAATATGTGCATGAATAATTCACACATAATAAATGTTATGATAATTCTCTTATAAAGAAAATATTTTAAATTTGCTGATTAAAAATGCTATATAACTATATACAGTAAAAACGGCATATATTTAAACTATAATTTATTTGCTTATGTGAAGGTGAAATTTCGGAACATTTAGAACACAAAATTAGGGATATTAATGTCAAGAATTTCACAAATACTGTAAGGAAAATAAATATACACTGACAATTTAGTAGAATCCAAATTATGAAAAATATCTATAAAATAGCAAGCCTAAATAAATCATTTACTTTTTAAATTTTAATTTATTTCAATGAATCATATGAACAGAATAAATACGGTTTTCCTTAAAAAAATAATAGTTATGGGAAAAAAAAAAAAAAAAAAAAAAAAAAAAGAGTTTAACTGAGGAAAAGGTACTTTTCTGTTATCAGAGGACCAGATTCAGAAATACATGTATATATGTACCCACAGAATGTAGATACATACATTTCTGAATCTGGTCTTGGTAATAGAAGAGTACAGAGGAAATGTGCACATTTTTATATTCACTTTAATCACTGTCACTGTCTGAGCCTTTTCTATTTGACTCATTAACTCTAATGTTGAATCTGTATTCCTGATCACAGCCCATATAAGAGTCACTCATAAAGTATAATGTATAAGTATGTTCTCCAGCATTTGGTGCTACAAAATCTAATTTTACTTTTGCCTTCTGCTGTAATGTAAGTCTTTTGATGGAAATGAGAGAATTTGTTTTGGGATCACCAATCACCACCCACCAACCCTCTTCACGCCGCTGAGGAAAGAGAGGTGCAATCACAGGACCAGTCACTTCATCTTCTCTTTCAAGCTGGACACTGACATTAACAGTCTGACCACTCATAATACTTTCCTTATCTTGAACTTCATAACTCAATTCAATGTTGGGATATCGATTACAGAACCTGGCAACATCAGCCATCTGGGCATCGTTAAGTTGCAACAGTTTATTCCTATCCTCATCTTCAAGTTCCATTACATCAAAAACAGTTTCCACACCCATTTCTGTACAACGTTTTACAATTTCTGGAGTAAAATGAGGCAACTGCTTCAGATATGAATCTTTGTTCCACATACCTTGAGTCACCATCTGTGCCAGTTCCATAGCTGCCAAAGCAGGTGACAACCAACCATTTGAACTCAATACATCAACACATGCTTGAATCAATCTTACAGCTTTACTTAGAATATCTTCAGTGTCTGATTGCAATTCAGCTGAAAGTTGCATACGAGATAAATGGGCCTGAAGTAACAAATTAGTCTTTACATGTGGATCACTAAATTTTGGATTAGCCAATTTATGAGGCAATCTGTTGGCCAACTGTTTAAGCAAATTATCCTCACGATGCCTAATTGGGACACTTTCATATTCTGCAGCTGAACTTATGATTTCAAGTAGACCTCTCACTTTGGTTTTGCTATTTAAAGACATGCTAAACAGTTCAATTGTTGTATAATTAATGTAATAATAAGCAGCAATCATACCTAAATTTAATGGTGACACATCCATTTCATCTTCAATACTGATACAACGGGACTGCTCCAAATCATTTAGTGTATTTTCAACCAATTCTGATAAATGATCAGATAAGTGACGATGTGTAACTCCTTGTAGATTATAGTAATTGGGATTTTGTGTCATACGACGGTATAGGAATGTCCAAGTAAGATAATCGACTGCATCTTGCTTATTATCAATAGTTTTAGTTACAATTTCAGCATTAAAATGATCATGCAAGCAATGGTCCAAATGGCTCTCAACTGGCAACGGCTCGTAAAGGAATTTTGTAAAGAAATCTTTTTTTGAACTTTGACACAAAAGCACACATTTTCCATCTTCATCATACTTTGGACGATTTGCTCGTCCAACCATTTGAAGCACATCGGTAATAGAATAATCTTCATATGTATGTATTTTGCCATTATAGTACTGTGTATCCATGATAACAACTAAATGTGCAGCTAGTGATAATCCCCAGCAAAGATTTCTTGAAACAACAACAACTTGAATAGCACCACTTTCAAATAGCTGTCCAATAATTTTACTGTCACTGGAATTTAAGCCTTCATGTAGATATGCTACTCCATTACTAATAGTTTCTTTCAGGGTTTTATCCACTATTTTGTCAACAAAAGGTTGTATATCACTATCGGTGCAATGAAGGAAACGAGCAGGTTGAGCTTCTGATGCACAGTATGTTAAAATATCTATTGCAGTGAGACGAGATTGTTTCCTTGATGGAACAAAAACAATTACAGGTTTTCTTGGCGATAATCTTGTTACTGCTTGATAAACAGGCTTGCTCATGGCAAGAAGGCGAGATGCATTATGAGTTATATTGAAACCTTGAATGTGAAGCTCCAGTTGAACAGGTCTTACATTTGGAGGAAAATTAAAAGTGGAATTCGGGCTAGCACCAAGCCATTGAGCAACATCTTTAGCATTTGCAAGTGATGAACTCAAAGCCACAATTCTAACTGGTTTATCAAGGTGAGATGATATGTATCGCATCCGGGAGCATATAACTTCTAAAATGGGACCATCTTCACCACCAATCAACTGCAATTCATCAACAATGAATAAATTTATATTTTGTACATTTTTTCTCTGCTTCCATCTACGAGATAGAACATCCCATTTTTCTGGAGTACTGATAATAATATTCCCTTTAGCCAACAATTTTAGATCTGTGCTAGTTTCCCCAGTTAATAGTACAACCTTTTTGTTCATCACAGTAGAAAATTTTGAAGTCCAATCAGCATAAATTATTTCAGCAAGTGGTTCTTTCGGAGTGACATATACGCATCTTCCATCTGGATTCTGAGATAATAAACGCAAAATTGCAAACTCTGCACAAATTGTCTTTCCACTTCCAGTAGGTGCTCCAACAAATACATTGTCATCGCTGTTATAAACTGAATTGAAAACTTGTGTCTGGATAGGATTGAAGTAAGGAAACTTGTCCTTGTATAATGATTCAAAGAATGGATTCCTGAGTGCTGATACGGGAAGTGGTTGTAAATCTAGAAGTTCAGTAGGAGGTGGATATTTTTCAGGTAAAATAAGATGGCGAAATGAAACTGGTAGTTGAGTTTCAGATCCTATCCACTGATCAGAAACTATTCGTATGAAATATTGTGGAGGCAAAGGTTCAAAAACCGGTACAAAAAACTTCACAATGTGCTCATCTTGACAAAATTTACTTTTCAGTAGAAAATATTCGTGATGGAGAATCACTTCACTGTCAACATCCTCAACTAAAATCCAAAAGGCTTCAGAACTACCATGCACTTTTTCATCCCACTGAAAATCTGGAGTTATTGTTAGCTCCACTCGCAACGTTGCTCTAGTTACAGGTTGAATATGAGCAGAAAGATCCAATTTAGGAAACTGATGTACATATTTATGAACAGTTTTACCTAGTTTAGGCATTCTTAAAAGTTCTCCAATTTCATTAGGCCCAAGATCATACAATCGTTCCCATGGGAAATTCTTTTTCTCAATTTTCTTTACAACTTCATCTGGTATTTTCTTAAACTGCCTCAATGGTGTCATAGATTGCCACATCCTCCTTTTTATCATCTTACATAAACTAAGAGCTTTATCAGTTAACTGTGCCCAACCTCTATGCAAAACAATCTCAAATATTGCTCGCATCAATCTATCAGCACTCTGTGTTATGTACACCATATCTGCCATAAGAGCAAGCCCTTCCAATTTCAATTGAGATATATATGCTTGAAGTAACACATTGACCTTAGCACTCGATTCTTCAATACTTTCTTTGATTGGTATAGGAACTCTTTCCACTAATTTCTGCAACTCCAGTTTTTCTTCTTCACGGATATTTAAATATTTAAATTCACTTGATAATGAAAACACTCTGAAAAGTTCAATCTCGCTCAAAGTTTGCTTTAAGAGCTGAGTATAAGTAGTCATTGTTTCATATGTACAGTAATAATGACTTGCAATTCTGCCTACTTCTGTGACTTGAAAAATACCCGCTTTTTTGTCAAATTTTAGTAAATTACTTTTATCTAATAAGGTAGCAGCTGTGTAAATCAAATCTGCTCGATGCTTTTCCAAAAGTGGATCTTCAGAATTAACTTGCACTCCATAAAGCGATGGACTACGCAGCATACGGATATATAAATAGGTATAACCTAGCCAAGTAACAGCTTCTTTCATACTTTGGATATTGCCCAGAACAATTTCAGCATTTAGCATATCTGGCAGTTTACTAATCAACTGGCTTTCAATTGGCAACTGCTGATTAAAAAGTGACAGATAATACTGCAATTCACTGTGATTGGTAATCAATATTCCTTCACCTTTAGTATCATACTGTGGTCTACCAGCTCTACCTAACATTTGAAGCACATCTAATGCTCCTAACTCAACCCAACGACCTTTTTCTGGACTATATATTTGAGTACCTTTAATTATAACAGTATGAGCTGGAAGATTCACACCCCAAGCTAGTGTAGCAGTAGAAACAAGAACTTGAATGTGACGATCTGCAAATAAATCTTCAACTAATGTACGATCTACACGGCTCATACCAGCATGATGAATTGCAAAACCATATGGTAATAAATTTTTTAACTCGTGATTCTTTACATGATCAGCTTCTGTCTCTAAAACAGCAGTAGAAGCCGAACCACCTCGAAGAAACTGCCCCAATGTATCTTTTTCCAAACACATATCTCGTATTTCTCGAGCAGTTTTGCCAGTTTCTTTTCGTGAATGAACAAATATTAAAACTTGATTTTTTCCTGCATGTTCCATGACTTTTTCGTACAGGATTTCTTTCATTAACATAAAACGCTTGATAGGCTTTTTCTCAGTTATGCCAATATATTGCTGTTCTAATGGAACAGGTCTGAAACTATTATCAAAATAAAACAAACCAGTAGCTGGTGTTACACGCAAAAAACTTGCTACATCTTCATAATTAGGCAATGTAGCACTCAATCCTACTAATCTCACTTCTTCTTGTGTCATTTCAATGTTACGGATAGTTCTAGCAACTAAAGCTTCAAGAACTGGACCTCTTTCATCATGCAAAAGATGAATTTCATCAAAAATCATAAGCCTGACTAACTGTGTATATGTCCTTTCACCACCTTTTCTTGTCACTATATCCCATTTTTCAGGAGTACATACAATAACCTGAGTTGCATTTATTTGTTCTCTGGTTAACTGATGATCACCTGTAAGCTCAGACACCTGAATGTTGTACGATTTAAGACGTTTGCTAAAATTCCCCACCATTTCTTGCACCAAAGAACGCATTGGTGCAATGTATATGATTTTAAATTCATCAGCATTAATTGTCCCATCAGAATTTATATGTTTTCCTATTTCTCGCATCATACATAATAATGCAACATTTGTCTTACCTGCTCCTGTAGGAGCACAGAGAAGTAAATTTTCATCTGTTTCTAGAGCAGTTTTGCATAATCTGCTTTGTATACGGTTCAAGCTTTTGTAACCTTCAAATGCATGTTGAACATATTTGGGTAATTTCTCTATAGGCATTAAGGATTCACTGGATTCAAATGGTTTGGGTTTCAAAGCTGGAACGTGAATTTCTTCATATCCACGTCTCTGCTTACGAAATGACCCATCAGGTAACTGACAACGTTTATTGGCCATAAAATGACTACCCTGTGTAAATGTCAAATCTTCTAAATCCAAAACACGACATTGCTGAAGTTGAGGCACACTTTCTCCATCAATGTCCATGGCTTCTAAATCAGCATCAACTCTAGCCTGACGAACCTGAGCTCTTCGTTCCCTTTCTTCTTGAATTATATCTTCTTTTTCTGTATTTTCAAGCTGTCTCAAAATTTTTTCTAATTCAGGATCACTTTGCATTTTTTCTTTCAGCTTAGTTTTTTCTGCTCCACTTTGTAATGAAGCAAGTAATGTGCAATACAATATTGTTTGACGATGCTGCCGTAAAATCTTAATGAACTCAAACTGATTATAACCTAAGAGAAATACTAACCGATTTTCAACCTCTCTGTCATCATCAGCTGTTTTCAATATGTCCAAAACTTCTCCAGCTTTTGTTTGTGCAACAACAGGATCATCATAAAATTTGCTCAGTTTTCTTTGCAACCAGTAAGCATCAATGTCACGAGGATGTAAACCTTTACCACTTTTACCCATGGTATCCTGGCTTGAACCTAAGTTTGTTGCATGAAGTGTACTATCAACAATGGCTTCATCCCCTTCATTTTCATCATTAGAATCCTCTTCTCTTACTTCTCCACACATATCTTCCTCTTCTTCATCAGACTCTTCAAACTGAACATTTACACCATATGTTTCATCAATGTTTTCTTCAGTAGTCTGAACCTTATCATCTACACCGTAATCGGTAATTTTCTTGCAAAGATTAACCAAAACAGCATACCTCTCTTGAGCTAATTGGCCGAGAAGAGCTTCTGTTTCCCGTCGTCTATCTTTATCGTCTCGAATTTTTTCATTTTTCAGAACAGCAAGAACTTCATCCGCAGCACCGCAGAGAATGTCCCTAGGCTGATCACCCAAAGCTTCTTGAATGAAACTTAATAAAACTTCGTATGTTTGCTTAGTTTCTGCTGTTTTAGGTCTGTACAAAATACCCACCATATCTTCTATGCCTTCAGATAGTAAAGTTTGACCTTTAAGTTTAGAAAAATCATACCTAGATTCATCGCGTTTCATGCGCTTAGCTTTTTTCTCCTCTGCTTTGGCCGGCTTCGTTCTTTGATATCGATCACCCATACGGGAGCCCTCCAACTTTCCCACAAGAGATACAACTTCACCGGTAGCTTCATCTCTGGGACGACGTTCTATAAGTCGAGTGTCAGCTTGTAAAACTAAATTAGAATTTGCTTTATATTCAAATTGCAACGAACGGGCAGCTGCATCCGCCATTTTTATTGCGGAGAACACAAACACCGACAATTTGTTGCCAATGCCAATGATTATAAGTTATGGAGTGTTGTGCACCATAGCAAGTCTTTAAACAGACGATATACTAATGATAAATGAAAACGATGGTAGAAAAATAATAAAGGACCTATCAAATCAAAGAAAGAATACATACATAAATATTAATTGTCAAAGCATGGTAAAGCATTGAACAACGGATATCATCAAAATAACAATAACATGCAACTGTTATCAAAATTAATTTAACCGAATGAAAAGGATAAAAATAATTATTATATATGAAATAAAAATTTTGTAAATACTTCAAAAAGCTAAATTTTCGAATCTTAAAAAAATCTAATGCAGCACAAATACCTTGTTTGTTTACATAGTTACACATACGTCTCGCGACCTCTGAGGTTAGCGGAATGTATCTCATTTATTTAAAAGACACAGGCGTCGGATCCTTTCTCAATTACGGAGTATAAAGAAGGAGGTGGAACTGCATAGTAGAAAATAAAAAAGGGTCCAAAAATATCGGTACACTCTATGTCTGTAGATCGAAATCCGCAATCGAACCCGTGTTTACTCTACGATGTCTTGAATTCGTGCCCAAACTGCAAGTGGCGAGCAGGCTATTTTTCTATATTTTCCAAGCAAAATACTTCTAAACTTATCATTATTATTGTTGTCAGTTTACCATTCAAGGTTATTCTGATTTTGAAAAAGGTACAATTTAAATATGTTGTTCAGTCAGAATATGGGCTTGTGAAGAAATGAATAAAATCTCTGTTTTTTACTTTCCTAAACATAACCATGAGCAAAAGTTTGAAAATTGTAAATATCAGCCATTGAAACAAAGTACGCGATGTTTGATAATAGCAAATTTACGTTTGTCTGTGCCTTCACAAAAAATAAGGCATATCTTACAAGATGGATCAGGAACTCCCAAGAATAGAAATAATTTCCCTGTAAAGGAAAGCTTTGTCTCCCGTAAAACTATTTCTGCTTATTCTAGATATTTAAACAATTCATTTAAAACAATTCATTGCGTCCAAGTAGTGATGCAGTTTCTGTTAATTCAATCATTGAAACTTTAAAATGTGAAGCATACAATCCTGTGTTATTATATAAGCCTCAGAATAATTCAACTTTGTACGGTCCAACTGATCTAGATAATCTTCCAAATCATAAAGTATCGTTTGCTCTTGGTCTTCAGACGCGTGAACAGAAAGAAATGATGATAAAAGGTTGTACAGAGATTTTATGTATCGATTCTACACATAAGACTAACCAGTATGATTTTTACCTTCTTAATCTTATAGTACCTGATGAATTTGGTTGTGGCTATCCAGTTGCTCATTTTATTACTAATTTTCTAGATGCTGACACTCTTTATTGTTTATTTAATAGTTTAAAGTGTCGTGTACCAAATTTATATGTAAACTGTGTAATGACAGATGATGACAAAGTTACATATCCTGCATTTTCAAAGGTTTTTGGTCAAGATGTTAAGCATCTTTTATGTTCGTGGCACGTACGCCAAAGTTGGTTCCGGCAACTAACTTAATTCTAAAGTGGTAGATAAGGAAGTGCGACAAAAAATGCTAGGAGAATTAACAAAAATATTACATGAAAGAAACCAGATCACTTTTCATGATCAAATAAGTAAGTTTTTGAATGACTATTCTAGGAAAAGTAGAGATTTTATTGAATATTTTTCTGAAAATTATAAAAATAGATTAGAAGGAATGGGCTTTGTGTTATCGGAACTTTCCACATGCATTTACTGATACTAACATGTACTGTGAATCTTTTCACAATCAGTTGAAAACTGTTTATTTTAAGCGGAGACATAATAGACGATTAGATATTTTAATTTCTACACTTCTGACAATTGAGAAAGATAAATATTTAAATCATACCTATAAATTATACACTAATGTATCTCCCAGAAATTCCATTTCTTGTTTTAAGTAGGCATCAGAGAGGACTAAAAATTAGGGACAGTGATGTAAATAAATGCTCTGATAATTCTTGGACTTTTGTTCCCAGACAAAAATAAAATAAACTTGCAATTTGAAATTTTGATTTTCATGCCCTTTCGTCCTGTTCTGGTTATAGTAAATTTCATCAAATTGATCATTTAACAATTGGATCCGGCTTATTTTTGCAGACTGTTAGAGCAATTTTATAAAAGTAAGCTTGAACTTTCGATTATGTCAAATAGAATTTCTGATATATATTTACTAATATGTAAAGGATCTACAAAGCGAAAAGTATGTTTTGAAGTTCATTAAACAAAAAGTGGAATTACTGCAAAAAATGGATAAAGGCATATCCTTTGTTTATCTAAACTTTAACGCGGCGGCACGCAATGAATTGGAAGTTGATCTGTCAGCACTATCCTTATCTTCAGGGCAGATGTTTTTATTTTATTTGGCTTATAATTCCTTACTAAATGTAGCATTTCATCTCGATGTACTCCGTCTTTGATATGATTTAAATCAAGTTCCTCGTCATTATAATTTGCTTCCGATAGTGAAGAAAGTGACAGAGGTTATTGAAAACGAAAAAATTTCGATTGACAAATTAATCGGTATTCTCGAGACACAGCAATTATAGGACTTGAACAGCGGAACTTTGTAACTAAACAAGAAATTATGTCTGTTTATAGAATTAAAGAGAAAGTATTATCACATAAAAATGAAGCAACTTAAACAACTTACATTGAAAGAAATGTTTAAATAAAGTAAACAAATAAATATTAAGCTTTTTTTTTTTTTTTTTTTTTTGTAAATTTTGATACCCTTTAGATCATAATTGTTCTTTATTTCATATTTTTAATTTTATAATTTCTGCATGCCATCTTACCAGATTTAAACTGATGATCTATAATCCGGAAGTCCCGACGAGTCTGGATTAACGGCTTTTGACTGTATATACAGTGCAGCGTTTTTTTTAAATTTGTCCGTGTCAGGACTTTTGCTTTCATAGATGCCCTAAAGTATCATGCGTCTCATTATGTAGTCACTTGTATCACTACAATTGCTTAGATAAATTGCTGTGCAAACATATACATAAAGTGCATTCATTCGTTAATAGATAAAATGATTGTATGTTTAATTCCTCAGGGATTAATCTTGAATCGAATCAGAAATGCAACGAAAATATGAAATCGATCAATGTGCATTCTGTTAATCATTACAATCCACAAAGTACTGAACAGAAAGTAAATGCACGTGAGAAGTTTGTTGAAGAATTACTAAGACAACCAAAAGTCCAAAATGTCGTGTTGTGATCCAGAAATGAATGAATGTGTGGAAAAGAAAATTAAATTTAAAGCCATAACATTTGATTTAAGTGACAGTGATAAACATCTGTGTTGTAAACCAGAGTTGATCAAAATAAATCATTTTCCCTTCCACTGAAATTTTAACGAATATATTTCTGAAAGAATTTTACAAATTGGTTGCTATGGTATCAATCGTATTGCTTTAAAGTCTTTAGATTCTTATATCAGTACAAGTGAAGAATTTTTTATAAAATTGGTTTGTGCAGATTTTGTTAGGGAATGGTTATTTGATGTAATCATAAATGCATTTTTATACAAAATTTTAGCAAGTGATCATGAATATATTTTTGCTGATTCCATGATTATCCAGCTTATCTTATCTGGTGCATTATAGGCATTATAGGAAGGGATTTTTTTTTATTAATAAAGAAATTGATTGAAATTTAAAAGATTCATCTAATATGTCTTAATGCATCTTACACATAGCTTGGCACTAGGCATTTTCCCACCTGATGCAGTCTCTGTGGATCCTAAATTCTGCTGCCTAGTGCCTTTCTAAATTCTGCTTCTAGTACCTGCTCTAAATGTTCATATTTACTAAAGAAGTAAAATTAGCTGCTTTTTTCATACATTCTAAATTCATTTAGTGTATTTTAGAATAACAGAAATCCTTAATTAAATCCAAAAACTCTAAAATGAAAAGGAAACATGTTGAAGAAAGAAACTGAATACATAAAGAAAATTATTCTTCAAAGATATGTGCAGTTATTATTACAGAAATTACCCAATTTTTTACGATTTCAGCCTTTACTGTAATTTCCCATTTCTATTTCCTCATACGATAGAGTTACTGAGCTAGATTAAATTAAAATTAAATTGTATAATCTTTAACCACTACTCCACATTTTTAGTTTGAATTTGACTGTTCTTGTTTAATTACGTCACCCTGAGCTGCAATTTATTTTGTTAGCATCAGAACATGCCTTTATGTTCTAAGTTCTTTTTAAATAAGAGGCTTATTTAAAACTTCGTCTGATATTGTAGTTTCTTACAGACACAGCGATAATATGCTTCACGTCTATCGGGGGTTTTGGATTAGTTAACTTTTAACAGATCAAGTAAACCCTCATAGGTACATTGTGGTGAGGTTGACGAGTTAGGAGATAAAGCAGGCAGAAACTAGCGAGAGCATTGGTTTGTATATTGAGACAAATCTCTAATTGTTAGAAAAGATGCTTAAAGAGAGAAAAATCGATATAAACTAGCCAAAATTTTGGGAAGGCTTTAAATTAAAATGACGGATAAATATTTTGTTGAGTGTTGTTACAAAACATTTAAATGTTTTGTAGCTTTTAATGTGTAATTATCCTAATATCGTTTAATAATCAATATCATAAATTACATGTATTTTAAACTGTGAAATTTTATTAGATTGGGATTTTTAACAAATATTGTTAAAAAATAAATAAAATTTAATTGTGGCCATGTAAATGCATAATGACTAAGGTTATCTTATACCTAATTTAATTACTTATAACTAAGTGCCTGCTTTTAAAAATTATCTCTCATATTAAAGCAAGTTATTGCCTTTCATTAATACTCATTGTGGTCACAAGATAAAATACAAAAATGTAAAAATTCAAGTAAAACTTATTCTTTGCTAAATGGGTTACAACCCCTGGAACTCTACACAAACCTACGACACTAACTGCATCAAACAGAGCGTGACTAACTTTCAACACTTGCCTACATCAAGCCTTTCAGATTTGTTCTAATCAGCAGGTCTCTCTAGACAAGCAGCAGCAGTGACAACATTCAGTCTTTTGTTATGAATCATGCTGATTATGATGTTACTTTTCATTTTAACCTATGCCATGTGACATAAAATCTACCTGCTATTTTCTAAATCTCTAGACTGACCAAGTATGTGACAAAATGATACATACAAAAAGTCAACATAAAGCTAACTTTTTTTTAGAAGTCAAACAACAAAAATCAGTGTTATATTTTAAAATTTTCACAGGACTAGTTTTGATCAGCTGCAAAAGTGCAAATGAACGAGATAAGATAAGAAAGCCTGGACAAGAGATAAGCTGTAGCCTTGGCTACTAATGTTTAAAATTAATTTATGACTAGGAACAGCATGGATTATAAACAAATAGCTAAGTTATTGCATTTTATTTTCCAGCTATCGAAATGCGATGCTACGAGCAACGTTTTGAAACCAAAACCTAGCAATCATGAATCAGAACTAGAACTAGTTGCCATTCAGCATAATTTAAATATAAATATGAACTACTTATTGCCATTCAGCATTAAAGAAATATAAATATGAATATTAACAAAATATTAAAGTTAATTTTATAAAATAATTAAACACATGAACAAATATATGAAATAAAAAATAATTATTTCTCATGCAATAACTGGGCCACTACACTACTCCCCCACCAGTAACTAAGTTACATTACGAACATGGAGAAATAGGTAGTAATAAGGCTCCTCTAAACCAGGCTGAATCACCAACTTTTCTCTCTTGGCGAGGGAGGGAACGAGCTACCAATTTTGGCGCGTTTATCGCACACGCTGGCTGAATGTCTGCTGTTTTTTTAAAGATTTATTGTATAGACACGCGGCATTCAGCGCACATAAACTTTTCGGATAATTTATTAATTCTCGAATAGTATATAGACGTTTTCACTTAAATAAAAATTTCGCGTATATTTTGTAAACATATTCAAAATAACTTATTCTTTAGATGTTTCAGTTTTGTTAGCAGACTAAAATAAATAAGATATGCATAAAAACTTTCAATAGTGTCAAATGGGGAAATAGTTAAAGCGTAGAGTGTGCAAATAAATTTATCTTAATGACATTTTAACAAAAATTTCCATAAAAACACTAAATTCATACTAAAAAAATAACTTAAGAATATGTTGTCATTTTAGTCTGAGGTATATGGAAATAATTGTGCAAGACTCTGAAGAAACACTTTCTTTTAAATGTGTGAAATATTTCATAACATATATGGAAGAAGAAAGTACAGCATTCTGTGTTTTGGATGATTTTCACCAAATGTAATATAAATACGAACTAGAAACCGTAATAAAAAGTCCTTCCTCTCCAATCAGATCACCTTTGTGTTGCATTGTATTTGTAATACTTCTAAAAATCCAATTTTTACCTAAATTAAAAAACAGTTATTCCATAAAAGATAATAAATTTGAACGTATATAGAATGAATTTTGTAATTTGAGTTATGTTACAAAATAATTCATAGTTTATATATTTTATACTAATAATTTAGATAAAACCTGTCCAATTTAAGAATGTGTGTTAACCACATTCTTAAATTGTAAAAGGACGACTTAACCACATGTAATTCATTTCAAAGCATAAAAGAAAGCTTATTTTCTATTTTACACAGCAACAACAGCATTTTCATGCAGTCAAGTTTTTTTAATTGCTAGTTATTATACATAATACTTAATTTTTAAAACACATTCTTATTAGAAAGCATAACTAAGAAACTTCTTTTTAAAGCACCACAGTGATTGCAAAGAATGTCGTTAAATTTACAAAAGTATTGAAGATATATTGAACAGCATTATAACAAGAAACTACTGTACAAAATATGTAAATTTAGCATAATTTCTTTTTTAGTATTTGCATAGTTTCCTCCAAATGAACCTTAATGGGAAGTTATCTTGCGAAAATTTAAAAGTATTAAAATGGCCTCTATTTAAGATGTAACTGCATTTATAATTATTTTGTAATTGTGAATAGATTATATTATTGCAATTAGATTATGCACTTACAACATAATTGCATAAAGTAATGAAATTAAGAGTTCACAGATACAATGTAATATAATTACAATGCAATTACCTAAATTGTAATTATAATCACTTATTTAATACCACAATATTATTACAATCACAATGTAATTTAAATTGGGTACTATATTTGCATACCCTCCACTCAAAAGGAGGTACTGATAAGCCTGGAAGTTATTATCAACAAAAAGCCTGTTCAGGACAGTTTGATGACAATTTCCACCGGGCGAAAAGTACATTCTTAAGCCCAGGCAAATCATGACAATAAAAATCATTTAGTCTCATGATTCACTATATTTTCAAACCCTAAATTTGAATTCTGCACCAAAATTATTTACCTATATTTTAACATACTTTATGAATTATTAGAAGCGATATGGCAAATATCTTCTAAAAATAACTGTAAAATATTTGTATCCATTAATTGATTCAGATACACACTTTTATTATTTAAGTATATCAAAATAACAGTTTCATGTTCCTGAAATACAAAAATTATGGAAAAAGTTAAAAGTAATATTCTTAGAAGCATATGATATTAGTCACCAGCTGCAAAATAGTTAATTTTTTGCCCTAAATACAAGTTTTATTACACAGTAGTCAAACGTGTAACTTAATAACATGTTATATAAAAATTAATGATAATAAGTTTATCAGAAATGAATTAATTCTGCAAATAAACTTTCTGCATTTGAAAATTTTTTACACCTACACCTGAGGGGAGAAAGAGATCTAGTAAAATTAGATTTATTATAACTTCAGTTGGACCAAATACCTTCTCTCTATATATATGCATCACTAAAGAAATAATAAAATTATCATGCTTAAAAAACAGATGTACCATACCAGTTTTTTTTTCCCCTTGTTACCCTTTACATTGAGAAATAACAAACAGTACAACACTGAAAAATACTATCCTTGAAATTTTGTTTAAATGAAGAAAACACACACCATCTTTTTATTTAAGCATTACACTTCAAAAACAGATACACATACCAATTTATTTTCACTAGCCTTTATACTGATAACATGCCATATAAAAATGAAAAGAATTATCCTTGAAATTTAGATAAAATGAAGTAACACAATGGGAAAATTTATGCACACGGACATCTTTTCTCTATTGCATGTTGTCTGACATGATCCACAAGTGCCTAAAAATGTATCCCAAAGAAACGCATTTCAATATTAACAAAAAATTGTTTACAGATTAAAAAATTCATTCATTTCATACCAGTATTATAAAGATCATGCATGAAACAAATCTGCTTTCCCATACTTTTAAGTAAAACTTAACTGAAATTTTATACTGGAAAATATGCTATATTTCTATATATTAGAAACAAGAAAATAATACCATAATAATATACTCATTGCCTAGCAGAAAGTAACATATATAACATCAAACACAGAAATTTATATACTCGTAGCCTAGGAAAAAGTAATACATATTACATAAAACACATAAATTATTTAATATAAACATACATACCTTCTAAAATTATTTTACTTTTTGTTTCTTATTGGCCGATGCTGATGAATATGAAACGTTATGGGCTCTTTTGTTGATAAGATGCTGTGTAAGGCCTTTGCATCTAGTAATAAAAAAATTATCAATAATTACTTTCTTAAGATTACAGCATTCTGGCATGGCCACATGCGTACATTTATCAATTATTCTTTCAACTAATTCTTTTGTGATGGCTGATTGTAAACGAAGGAGTACATCTTTACATTTTTGAAATTCTCGTTCAGCTTCCCTACATATTCGATACATTCCTGAAGAGATGACCTTCAGTCCACCTTTATTGCTATGTTTTGTAAGAATTGTGCGATGACAACACAAAATAACGCTTCAGAAAATATTATTTATCATGTATAAAAATCTGTTTTGTAACACAGATCAGTAATAACTGTTTATCAATGTCATGAGGATTTAATTTGACGAGATCACATTCTTTAGAAGTATCAAATTCATGAAAGGATTTTGGCTTGGCCTTTGAAATTCATCATTACAGGCAGATTTATTTGATTGTTATGCATGCATTAAATACTACACATGCATTAAAAACACTACAATTATTTTTGAAAAATACACATGCAGAGTTTCACAAGTTTTCTGTGCTTATTTGAATGTTCTGCATTCATTTCTAAATCTTTACTCTTATTATCTTTTTAAAATTGCCAAATTGTATAATACTGTGATTATAAATATATGGTACTTGCAATTATTGAAGTCGGATTATATATATTTTGTCTCGTACTATTCAATTTATTCTATTGACTTCAGATGTCAATGTCAAAATTGTGGAAGTTATTTTAACCAAGAAACAGTAGTGGACACCGTGCATAAACAACTCATCTAACTTTTTAACAACAGTGATTATAAAATAAAGAAAAAAAATTATATATCATTCCAACGATATTGCAACTATAGTATAATGTTACATATATCTTTAGCAAACATTCAGATTTTATCTTGACTTTCCAAATTATTATTTATTTTTTAATAAATTTCAATATGCTAATGATTTTCATGTTACATTAGTATAAATTCCACAATTAGCACAGGAAAACAAAATCTGCGCTTTATATTAGAAGAGAAATTTCTTTTCCACATTCAAAACATCCACATTGGCGATGTTTGGCGACGGGTACATTAACCCTAGACTAATTTAATTATAGCTATTATTACAGAAATTAGCAGATACTCAGGTTATTGTACACAAGAATTTCACTTTACTTGCACATTATAAACATCAGAGAAGATATAAACTCTAAATGAAGGCGTAATTAACATTATACTTACTAAGCAAAGTTCAGCGCCTGGACCAGGTTTCCAATTGTCTCTTCGGCAATTATTTACCCATATTTTCTTCTTTCTTTCTTCTTTCATTTTTTTTAGGAAATTTTACCAATGTATGACCTTTCCGTGAATGATTTGAACAATTAATAGCTGCCATCCACCCATTTTACACAACAAATTGTTGCACGTAACACAGTAACTACACAGCCGCCATTAAATCTCCCACTTGGGATCGCGAATGCCTGATGATTCAGCCTGGTATATAGGAGCCTTAGGTAGTAACTAGTATTGCAGTGTTAACCACTCACCACGATGTAGCCTTGGCTACTAATGTTTAAAATTAATTTATGACTAGGAACAGCATGAATTATAAACAAATAGCTAAGTTATTGCATTTTATTTTCCAGCTATCGAAATGCGACGCTAAGAGCAACGTTTCGAAACCAAAACCTAGCAATCATGAATCAGAACTAGAACTAGTTGCCATTCAGCATAAAGAAATTTAAATATAAATATGAACTACTTATTGCCATTCAACATAAAAAAAATATAAATATGAATATTAACAAAATATTAAAGTTAATTTTATAAAATAATTAAACACATGAACAAATATATGAAATAAAAAATAATTATTTCTCATGCAACAACTGGGCCACTACAAAGCTACTGGCGCCATTTGTTGATGAAACCAGAACTAAAACATAATTTCTTTAAAGGCTGAAGGCAAAGATGGATTGGAATTGTTATTGTATCTTAATTATAAAGCTAACTGTTAGTAAAACATAAATGTCACTTATTTTCTTTCAAATATGTCCAACTATTATAAGGGTAAAATATTTAATGTTGCTTGATAAATTGCTTAAAGTTTATTTTATTCTCAACCTTATTAATAATTATGTTAATTAATTCATGTTTAGTAATAATGCATAGTACTTAGGGATCTATTTTATTTTTAAGATGGTGTTACAAAAGTTAAATTCAGGCATAGATAATATTTTTAATTGAAGTTATTCAGTTCCCATTTGCTCATAGGACCTTAATTTTTTTCGTTAATGATCCTTAAAAGTACTTAATTTCTATGTGCAGAAATGTGTACAAACCAAAAATTTGCTGTTAGAGCAAATTTTTGTATTAAAGATCCATTACTAACAAGATTAAAGTCAGCAAAATTATTTTTTATCCCTGCAAATTTAAATTGCCATTAAATATTAATAATAGTAAGTATTCCAGGTATGGTTTTTGAATTTTATGATTCACAAAATAAATCATGTGGGCAAGAGTATCAAATTTTAATTCATACATGGTGTAAGGTTTTAGCTAAAATATTTGCTACTAGCACTAAATGGAAAATAATTTGTCCTTCACTTATTTTGCAAACTGATAATATGAGCTGTGGTGTTTTAGTATGTTACTATGCTTATCAGAGGATTAAAAATCAAAGTTTAAATATGCAAGTTAATACAGCTGAATTCTGGAAATTGATATACGAGCATATAATTTTAAGTAATTGATATATTTGAAGAAATTAAAATTAAGAAATGTTTTTTGGGACAGCATTTCATTCTTTTGGTAATGTTTGAAAAATAGAAAGTATAATGGACAAATATTTTGCAATTCATCTATTGTCTTACAGTATATATAAAAAAACATTTTTTCTTATTTTGCTTTATTTTATAATGTTATATGGCTGGTAAACAAATAAAAATGCCTATGTTTGTATGTAACTTGGTAGTATAAGATAAAATTGGGTACTTACGTATTATCGCAACCAGGTTGACGCTATTCGTAAGTTTTGACGCTATTTGTAAGTTTGAGTAAAAAAGTATGAATAGAAAGAAAATGTACATTTATTAATTACAGATAATTTTTAATACAGTTTTTTATATTATTTTCTTTTAAAATATAAAATAGCAATTAAACCCTTCGGGTTTCGAATTTGAATAAGTTGCAGAATTATTTTTTCGGCGAAAATCTTTTGGCTATTGCTTTTAGCACTGATTAAAAACCGTATTCGCCATAACCATGTACACATCGACTTATTTTTACTTAAAAAAACATCCCAGAATTGCACAAAAATGGCATTGCGCACACTCTTCACTCTATCCATGTACACTGCTATTTTCTCATAAATTACAAAAATTTGCAAGAAAATTTTGTGAATTTTGGCCTGGTTGCGTTAATACGTAAGTACCGAAAATTGTTAAAGTAGGCAACAATGAGCCGCTTTGGCCGGGGTGATACCCCCAATTGTGGATAATAGAGAATAGTTCATTTTATGTTAACAATGCATTTTCAGGGACCTACATGCCAAAATTTTCTCTTATTTTTAAAGAAGAATCAGAAAATTTGTACTTAACACTTCATCCCGTTGACTGTGAAAGATTTCCTTGGGAATGATTGGTAGGTCTTCACCAATTTTCATGGCCAATGGGATAGTATGTAAGTACTGCAAATTTTTCTGTTCATAAATAATCTCATAACATATCTGGTTATTTTTAATATTTCAGGCTTATGTTCTCAAAATGAATAGTGCATTGTTTTCAGTGATCTTGACTGTTTTACAATTGAATTTAGTCATCTTTAGTTTTCAGTAAACGATGGGCAGGAATCTGGTACGTATTTAAAAGTCAAGAGCAAGCTCTTCCAGCAGAATTTTCTGAAACTGTACTCATAATTTTTTAAGTAATGTTGTTGAATAATATTTATTCTCTATTCAAGAAATTTTATCTGCTGTGTCTTTGTTTTCAGAGAGAAAAGATGAGTAAAAGCTATGTAAAATAATTATTATGTATTCTGAATAAAGTATGGGGAAAAATTATCCATTTTTGAATTATTTTTTACTGAAAAATTACTCCACATATTATGAATTAGTCATATCTGTGAAGCATAAATAAAACTATGTATAATGTGAGTAGTGTTTCTTACAAGACATGAATAATACAAAATTGTCCCAGTTCCTTCTTGAATAAAATATATTTTCATTCTTTATTTCATCATCCATGATATCAATTGATTTTCACTGATTGCGATTGAATAACATATACTTACTTAAAAATATGGGCTTTTTTTTTTTACTAGTCTATAAGAGTACTTGCATATCTGTAAGTTTTAGTATGCAGAGCTGTATACAAATTAAACTTTCACACATTCCAATAACAAAAAAGGTCCAGCTACCATTAATTAGATATTTTAATTATTCAACATTCAGAAACAAGGAAATATGAGTGAACTTCCTGCTAATCAAAAAGATGAATATACTAGTCTTGTATTTAGTTATGGAAAATGAGTGCTGAATTTACAGTCCATTTTTTAATTTTTAGCTATTTATTGCAAAATAAGAAGGCATAAAAATTTATGTATCAGGCAAAGGGCTTGTGGTCGTTCACACATAAAAGTGTAGCCAGACTTCTATTATATGAAAGCAATCTTGTAATTTTAATTCTAGAATAAGTCTAATAGTTAGATAATGACTATTATTACTTCCTTCCATTTCAGAAGTATTTGCTGAAATTTCTGTTTCTCATTTGCATGGATGGTTTCAGAGTTGAATTTTCTGCAGAACTCCAATATCCATAAATGGTTTGACACATTAAAAATAGAGAATATTTGCTCGAAGCATCTATATATTTCATTTAAATTTGATTAAATCAGTATTGATCTCCTTTTCTAGAAAACCATTGTGATTAGGAACGGTATTATCATTTCCTTGTAAATAATGATCAAGGCTGCAGTATGCCATCCCCCCTCCCCTAAGTTTGCGTAGGTGATTCGTTAGAGCAAAAGCTAACATTTTCGTTTGGTTTATTTGATTGCAGCTAAACACTCAAGGGCTATCTGACTAAGGGGAGGGACGCCTTCTTGGAGGACTCTTTGAAGGAAACTGACTCCTTTACACGTTACAGATGGGGAAAATACCCATGCAACCAGCTCTTTCGCCGAGATTCGAACCACGAACCGAACTATCAGTGTTCAGTGATTTTCAGTGTTACCGCTCGGCTGCTGATAGGAAAAAGCAAGTATAGTAAAAAGCATTTTTTAACATATAACGGAACATTATTGAAATTCTGGCTTTTCCAAGTTTTGTTTTTTTGGATTACTGTATGCCAAACATTAAATGCCCTGCTAGAACCTCTATTACAGAGAGTGAGAAGAGAAACTAATAAATGTAGACTTTGACTTAATTCACAGCATGAGAGCACGAAGTAATATTTAAATGGTTTATTTAAT